TTCCTTCTCATTTCTTTTGTGTGTCGTCTGTCAGCTTATAGCTAAATTGCTGTACTGTGCAACACTTGTAAAAAAAGTATTCAATCTGTGCCCTTCAATAGACAGTGACAGTGTCTCTTTAGACAAACTTTTCATAATTTCATCAAGGGTGCTGCTGGTGGCATAAGCTGCCTCTTTCACCAGTGGAAGAGGCTTGAAAGACAGACCGAAAAAGCCTTCTCTCCCTCTGCCCTTGAAGGAACATCCCAACATCTTCTTCCCGGGCAGCTTCCAGGTATCAATCCCCAGCCGGTTTAATTGACTGGGGCGAGATGACATCACTTCCATGCATGCACAGTGTAGTACAGTGGGGCAAAAAAGTATTTAGCCAGCCACCAATTGTGCAAGTTCTCCCACTTAAAAAGATGAGAGAGGCCTCTAATTGGCATCATAGGTAGACCTCAACTATGAGAGACAAAATGAGAAAAAAAATCCAGACAATCACATTGGCTGATTTGGAAAGAATTTATTTGCAAATTGTGGTGGAAAATAAGTATTTGGTCAATATCAAAAGTTCATCTCAATACTTTGTTATATATCCTTTGTTGGCAGTGACAGAGGTCAAACATTTCCTGTAAGTCTTCAGAAGGTTGGCACACACTGTTGCTGGTATGTTGGCCCATTCCTCCATGCAGATCTCCTCTAGAGCAGTGGTGTTTTGGGGCTGTCACTGGGCAGCACGGACTTTCAACTCCCTCCAAAGGTTTTCTATGGGGTTGAGATCTGGAGACTGGCTAGGCCACTCCAGGACCTTGAAATGCTTCTTACGAAGCCACTCCTTCATTGCCCGGGCGGTATGTTTGGGATCATTGTCATGTTGGAAGACCCAGCCACGTTTCATCTTCAATGCCCTTGCTGATGGAAGGAGGTTTGCACTCAAAATCTCAAAATACATGGCCCATTCATTCTGTCCTGTACATGGATCAGTCCTCCTGGTCCCTTTGTGAAGAAACAGCCCCAAAGCATGATGTTGCTACCCCCATGCTTCACAGTAGGTATGGTGTTCTTTGGATGCAACTCAGCATTCTCTCTCCTCCAAACACGATGAGTTGTGTTTCTACCAAACAGTTCTATTTTGGTTTCATCTGACCATATGACATTCTCCCAATCCTCTTCTGGATCATCCAAACGCTCTCTAGCAAACTTCAGATGGGCCCGGACATGTACTGGCTTAAGCAGGGGGACACGTCGGGCACTGCAGGATCGAAGTCCCTGGCGGTGTAGTGTGTTACTGATGGTAGCCTTTGTTACGTTGGTCCCAACTCTCTGCAGGTCATTCACTAGGTCCCCCCGTGTGGTCCTGGGATTTTTGCTCACCGTTCTTGTGATCATTTTGACCCCACCGGGTGAGATCTTGCATGGAGCCTCAAATCGAGGGAGATTATCAGTGGTCTTGTATGTCTTCCATTTTCTAATTATTGCTCCCACAGTTGATTTGTTCACACCAAGCTGCTTGCCTATTGCAGATTCAGTCTTCCCAGCCTGGTGCAGGTCTACAATTTTGTTTCTGGTGTCCTTCGACAACTCTTTGGTCTTCACCATAGTGGAGTTTGGAGTGTGACTGTTTGAGGTTGTGGACAGGTGTCTTTTATACTGATAACAAGTTCAAACAGGTGACATTGATACAGGTATTGAGTGCAGGACAGAGGAGCCTCTTAAAGAAGAAGATACAGGTATGTGAAAGCCAGAAATCTTGCTTGTTTGTAGGTGACCAAATACTTATTTTCCACCATAATTTGCAAATAAATTCTTTCCAAATCCGCCAATGTGATTGTCTGGATTTTTTTCTCATTTTGTCTCTCATAGTTGAGGTCTACCTACGATGCCAATTACAGGCCTCTCTCATCTTTTTAAGTGGGAGAACTTGCACAATTGGTGGCTGACTAAATACTTTTTTGCCCCACTGTATATTGTGCGTAATAAATATATATATATATATATATATATATATATATATAATATATATTACGCACAATATACTACACACAGGAGTTCAGTTATCTCGGCATTACATAAAATTATTTTAGTGAACAGTGCAGGCAGGTAAGCAACTTTAATGCAGAAGAGACATTACAGTGAGGATCGAAAGTTTGGGCACCCCAGCTAAATATTTGTATTAATGTGCATAACGAAGCCAAGGAAAGATGGAAAAATCTCCAAAAGGCATCAAATTACAGATTAGACATTCTTATATGTCAACAAAAGTTAGATTTTATTTCCATCATTTACACTTTCAAAATAACAGAAAACAAAAAAATGGCGTCTGCAAAAGTTTGGGCACCCTGCAGAGTTAATATCTTGTACTGCCCCCTTTGGCAAGTATCACAGCTTGTAAACGCTTTTTGTAGCCAGCCAAGAGTTTTTCAATTCTTGTTTGAGGTATCTTTGCCCATTCTTCCTTACAAAAGTCTTCCAGTTCTTTGAGATTTCTGGGCTGTCTGTCACGCACTGCTCTTTTAAGGTCTATCCATAGATTTTCAATTATGTTGAGGTCAGGAGATTTGAAAGCCATGGCAAAACCTTCAGTTTACGCCTCTTGATGTAATCCCCCGTGGATTTTGAGGTGTGTTTAGGATCATTATCCATTTGTAGAAGCCATCCTCTCTTTAACTTCAGCTTTTTCACAGATCAAGTTACCATCCAAAATTTGCTGAAATTTTATTGAATCCATTTTGTCTTCTACTCGTGAGATGTTCCCTGTGCCACTGGCTGCAACACAACCCCAAAGCATGATTGATCCAACCCCATGCTTAACAGTTGGACAGAGGTTCTTTTCATTAAATTCTGTGCCCCTTCTTCTCCAAACGTACCTTTGCTCGTTCCATCCAAAAGGTTAAATTTTAACCTCATCGGTCCACAGAACTTGTTTCCAAAATGCATCAGGCTTGTCTATATGTTCATTTGCAAATTTCAAACGATGATTTTTGTGGTGAGGACGTAGAAGAGGTTTTCTTCTGATGACTCTTCCATGAAGACCATATTTGTACAAGTATCTCTTTATAGTGGAATAGTGTACCACAACTCCAGTGTCTGCCAGATCTTTCTGGAGGGATCGTGCAGTTAAACGTGGGTTTTGAATTGTTTTTTTCACAATCCTGCGAGCTGTTCTGTCTGATATTTTTCTTGGTCTTCCAGATCTTGCTTTAACTTCCACTGTTCCTGATGACTGCCATTTCTTAATTACATTCCGAACAGAGGATACTGACATCTGAAAACGCTTTGCTATCTTCTTATAGCCTTCTCCAGCTTTGTGAGCGTCAACTATTTTCAGTTTCAGTTTTCTAGACAACTGCTTAGAAGAACCCATGGTGCTGATTGTTGGGGCAAGGTCAGATGAGTCTGGGCATTTAAAACCTTTGAGATTGACATCACCTGGTCTTCCCAGACGATGATTGAGAACAATCCATGACACTGGCAGGTCTCAGCTTTGCAAAGGGGGCAGTGCATGCTATAAATTCTGCAGGGTGCGCAAACTTTTGCAGACGCCATTTTTTTGTTTTCTGTTATTTTGAAAGTGTAAATGATGGAAATAAAATCTAACTTTAGTTGACATATAAGAATGTCTAATCTGTAATTTGATGCCTTTTGGAGATTTTTCCATCTTTCCTTGGCTTCTTTATGCACATTAATACAAATTTTTAGCTGGGGTGCCCAAACTTTCAATCCCCACTGTAACTGGATACGAACATTTATAGGTAAAGTTGAACCAGGGATTACCTGATTGCCTCTCAGGGGATCAGGAAGGAATTTTTGCTCCTGCAGGAGCACATTGGATCATGCTTTGTTTTGTTTTTTTTTTTGCCTTCCTCTGGATCTACTGTGGGTGTAGGATTATAACTTTTTTTTTTTTTTTAATGGTTGAACTGGGTGGACTTTTGTCTTTTTTTAGCCAGACTAACTATGTAAAAGTGGCATTTTTTTCTTCCTGTGTGCTTGTAGCCTTGGGGCTAGTTCACACTAGATGCAGTCCAGTGTTTTTTGTTTTTTTTTCTGCTTAAAAAAATACTTGCACTGTGTTGTCCATGTATTCCAATGGCCCTACTTCACACCAGTGCAGTCAGCTTCCAGTACAGAAAACAAAGTGAAACATGCTGCATTTTTTTTTCTGCACAAAAATGTACTGGAACATGGCAAACTGCATCAAAACTGCACTGGAATGCATTTTTGTGGTGTGAACTGGCCCTTAAGGTTTACAAATTCTCAACAAGCAGCAAAAGAAATTTGAAACAAGCAATCCCTGTCCTTTCGAACTGCTTTTACTGTAAATCAATTCATTCTCAAAGATCCTTAACGCTAACCACTAAAAGATTTCCCTTTTTTGAAGTGGGTCTCCCTCCAGATTGCAAGGGTTACCTGCTCATGTTGATGAATAAGGCAATTTCTCTACCTTACCTCTTCTCTTTGTGTGACCGGGCTCACGGTTATAGCTACCCTATATTGTATGGGGGAATGCTAGGAGCTTTCCAGAGCTTCAGGCAGTGAAGAAGTGTGGAATAAGGTAAGTATATTACTTTATTCATCATCCCCTGGGCAAAAGCAGCAGTTAACCCTTGCAATGGGGAAGGGAACACACTGCAAGGATAAATCCCCCTTTTTTTTCCTCTGGATTTCAGCTTTAAAAATCAAAAAAGATTTGAAAGTCATGTATCTGTTTCCAGCAGTTTAGAAACATTAAGCTACATGTCTACACTAGAGGACTAGCAGATTGCCAGGATTTGTCTGCCATAGAAAAAGGAGATTTTTTTTTTTAATGAAAGCCTTAGGTGCTGGAAATCTTTTTATGCAGTGGGTGATTTGCACTTGGTTGGCATAGAATTGCCACATTGTATGCAGTTTCATTCTATTCCCATTTCTTGCTATATTAAATTATTTCACCAATATTTTAAATTTCCCTTTTAATGTTATTTTTCATCACTGCTTCCCCTGCGCATTATGACCCTGACCTACCTTCAATCTTTCAGGATGCAGAACTTATTTATTGCTGGCTTCGTAGCTTCCAGCTAGACATGTATGTTGGGAACTTCTTATCTGCAGGCTATGACCTTTCAACAATCAGCCGAATGACTCCAGAGGTAAGAGCAGCTGCTGCTTCAAAGCAGTTTTCTTATTCTGACTGTTCATCAATTTAAATATGTTAAACTGTCCCTTCTCTTCAGGATCTGACAGCCATTGGTGTGACAAAGCCGGGACACAGGAAGAAAATATCCACAGAGATTGGCAAGCTGAATGTAGCAGATGGGCTACCACAAAAAATGCCAGTGAGGATTCGGTTTAACCTACCTATGATAATGCCTTTGACTAGGAATACCCAATGCGTCAACCACTAAAATCATATTAATAACAGTAACCACAGATACATAATCTAATGCTCTGAAATAACCAAGCGGAGGATTGGGCTCCATATGTTTTTTTTTTTTGTTTATTTTGTAAAATGGTTTTTACTTTTTACAAAATAGTTGCAGATGCATTTTAATATTTGACTGTGAATTCGACTGATTAATTTGACGGCTTAATGATGAACCTTGGAATAGAAAGGAAGTCCCATGTGCATTCTTACTTAAATTTTGGTGTGCGTTGGTCTTTATTACAGGAAACCCCTGTAACAAATACACAGTCACTGCTGTTCTCGCTCCTTGTGCAGGGTGACTGGTCTTGTATTCGCCACCTTCTGTAATGTTCTGCAGCCCCAACCAAACTCCTGCTCTGTGCAGACTCTGTACAGCACCGTGATGATGTCACTGCCTCTTTTGCAAGGTAGTCTGTGGATTTGCAAATGCCTTTGGTGCACACAAAGCAAACCAATGTCCTGAGGAATATATCTGAAAATGAAAATAACATTTTTTTGTGCCTAAAATCCTGCTTTAAGATTTGTTACCTAATGGATCCTTTCTCTTTAAATATTTAGGTAGACTTGGGGGATTGGCTAACTCAGCTGCAACTTCCTGAGTACCATAAACAGCTTACAGAAAATGGATATGAATCGCTTAGCAGTGTGACAGAATTGACATGGGAAGGCCTGCAAGAGATTGGAATATTAAGACTAGGTAAGACAATGTCAATTAATCACTAAAAAGTGTTACCCAACTTTCTTTAAGTCTTTTCATTCATTTCTCTTTCATTCGATAGGACACCAGAAGAAGTTGTTGCTAGGAGTAAAACGCTTGCTGGACCTTCAAAAAGGATACACAATAGGGGGAACCCTGAGAAGCAGAAAGCCAGGATCCCTCTCTACTGTACCTTTTGTGGAAGCCTCTGAAAATGGAGAACCACCTACCACACCTAAGCTGCAGACTTTTCAGAACATAGAACTGAGCCGGGAACTGCAGAATGCCCTAATGCATGGTGGTGACTTTTTGTGTGCTACTAGGCGTTCCTATAGTCAGGAGAGTATCAGTTCCCGGTCTCAGGGCTCTGGTCACTCCCAAGACTCAACAGGTTCAAACCCACCTCTGCTCCCTCCATTTCAAGCAATGGACTCCACTTTGCCAGAGAGGAATTTGCCTGAGGGCATGGATCATTCCCATTGGCCCAATAGAGTCCCCAATGGGTGTTCAGTTAAACCGGAGCCACCTCCACCACCTCCAAAGCCCTCTATGAAAAAGCGGTCACTAAGTGTTTGCCGCTATGCACTGTCAGATGGAGAGCCAGAGGAAGAGGACAAGGGTGCCACCTCAGGCAGTGGAGCATTGAGCTCTTATGCTACATTAACTCGTCGACCTGGCCGCAGCTCCCTGACAAATGGACAGCCTGAGAAAAAAAGTACAGCGGAGTCATTCTTTTGCTGTACGAGCACGCCGGAAAGGACCACCTCCTCCACCTCCTAAGAGACTTAGCTCTATGTCTAGTGTTGATGGCCCACCTTCTAGTGGGCCCAACTTGGTTAAAAACCTGGTGGCCCATATAGAGGGAGGGCCAGAGTCAAAGACAGCAGATGTTTGCAAATCAGATGTTTTTCAGAGCCCTGGTGGACGAAGGAGAACTGTGAGCGAGTCTGCAGCTGGTGTTGGGGAGAGGTTATCTCTGCCACTCACAGTGAGACAAGAGGAGAGCAAAGAAGAAACTGTTCCATCACAACACAGCTCAAGCGAAAGCATTCCTTTTGCAGAGGAAGGAAACCTTACTATCAAACAGAGACCCAAACCTCCAGGATCTAAAGCAGAGTCTGTGATCAATGCAGATCTGTTCTCTCCAGCAGTGCTATCTCCTCTTTTAAATTTGGAGGGCACTTCTGAAGCTCAGCAACTTCCAGGAACAAAAATAGAGCCGCGTATAAACACTGAGGTCCCAGCACTTTCTCAGACAGCAATTCGGCCACATGTAGGTGTTAAGCCCCAGATTTGTCCTAAACCAAACACTGACCTTAAAGTGCCACCAGCAGTTACTATGCCAAAAGTCAACACAGAGCCTGAATTCAACCTCACAGAGTCTGACACTGTAAAGAGGAGGCCTAAAATCAAAGAAAAAGATGCATGTGTTGAAGAGAAGCTGCAATCACCTGTTTCCCCTGTACAAACTGGCACAATCATATTAAATGGTCTGCAAGAAACTGTGGTGACTAAAATAGGAAAGTCTGAGAGAGGACTGAGCTTTGAAAAACGTGGCAAAGTTGAAATGATGGCTGGAGACCATACAAACAGACAAGGTATGGTACCCCAAAAATTAAATACTGTTAATATAAAATTGAGAAAAAGAAAGCTTAGTGTCAAATTGAGAGATGGCGACCAGTTAAACTATTAGTCATTAATCACTAGAGCAAGTCCACCCAAAACTTGTGCTAAATTTGTAGGTGAAAAGTTTGACTTTTAATCTACTTTGTACAGTGCGCTGCAATCAAATGCATTAATGTAGCATACTGCAGTGAAATGTGAATGAGACACATGGGAATCATTTGTTTTCTGTGTGTGGTGACAGACATTTTATTGCATTGTAAAACATCTTTCACCACAAGGACACAATGTGTGAATTACCCCTAAAACTCAGCCATTAGTAAGAAAATCTGTGATGGTTGAAGCACCTTAGGACAGTTTTTTTTAAAAAAAAAAGGTGCCTGCATGATTTTTAAAATTGTGCCAAACCAAAATGCATGGTATTGTGGTACCATGCATTTTAGCAGATGTGAATGCAAGTGCATTTGCTAGATGTGTGGGAGTGCTATTAACAATTAGCCTTTTTGTGTGGTGTGGGAAGATGCACAATTTTGCATTACCTGGTATGAACAAGCCCTAAAATGTAGTTTGTGAGGCTGTAGTCTGTAGGTTGTACTAACTACTGAATGATACGTTACTAACTACTGAACTGTTAATTCCTAACTACTGACTGGTGCTTTAGTAACCACTGAACTCTGCATGTGATTTATATATAGAGCTAACAAAATCAATGGGATCTCCAACAGGATCCCTAGCAGAAGGCAGTGTGAAGCAGCATTTCATGTATCCTCATAGAGTTAACAGGCTTGTATTCAATGTTAAAAAGCTGACTGATAAACTCTGATGTAGCTGCCGACAGATAGAAAGACAGTAAACTGTGAACACTGCTGCTGGCTTGTATAGACGAGAGCAGGAGCAGATAGGGTGGATTAACTAGCAGGCTCCTCAGAACAGCTGAGCTTGGACACTGCACATTCCGCTGCTGACACCGGGCAGAGAGGGAGTGGAGAAGCTGCAGACACTTACAGCACACATGGAGGAGTGAGATCAGATAAGGTGCTCGGGCTCAGATCACATGCTGTAAAACATTGCAGACACTGCCGCTACTCTGGGCAAATGGAGAGATTCACGGGCCTCAGAATTTATACACAGAACTTCTAGCATAGAGCTGGGCACTTTCCCTCTGCTGCCACTGTGGTATAGGAACCAAATGAAAAGTTTCATAGTTTTGCTGCGGCACCCCTGAAAACTCTTCGTGGCACCCCGGTTGAGAAAGGCTGCCTTAGGATAATGCAAGTTGAATTTTAGGGCTAATTCACACATTGTGCAATGACAGGCATTTTACAATGCAGTAAAACATCTGCCACCCCAAGGACACACAGAAAATAATTGTTTCCTCTGTGTCCCATTCACACTGCAATGCAGCCAGGAGCTGCTGCATTTTATTGCAGCACACTGTACAGGATAGTGTGGCACTGTATGGCAGTGCAGCACATCTCTGTACTGCTCCATGAATTAAATGTATGTTTTGTACATTTCAAATAAAGTTTGCCCAACAAAAAAAAGGGGGGCTGTGTGCTGCATCGATTTATGCACCCCACTACCCCTAGCACAGTCGGGAGCAGATAGGTAAAGTGCTTTGGCAGCTGTCCGCTCTAGTGTGAGCCCAGCCTTAGTGATTTTGACACTGGCGAGATGCCTCAAGCACCAGAATTTCTTTTATGGTAAAACCATTATGCAAGAAGTTCATCCATAAGAACATCTGAAATGCATATTTAAGGAGACCTAAGATAAAGAACACTTATCTGCCACCATTTTGAAAAGGGTCTTTCTGGGTTTTTGTTAACTATGAGCAAAGTCAACGTTAGGTCTTTCTTGGGTACCTGATCAACTTGCCATCACATTATGAACCAGTCCAGGGGCGGACTGACAACTCATGGGGCCCCCGGGCAATAGGGGATCATGGGGCCCCTGTGTCCTTGCCCAAACTCAAAAAAGTCTATGAAAAAGGTACCAGGGGCATCTCATGGGGCCCCCTACTGACCCCGGGCCCTCGGGCAGTGCCCGAGTTTCCAAATGGTCAGTCTGCCCCTGAACCAGTCTATTCTTTAGTTGTGTGCTGTGCAGCACAAGCAAAGCAAGTTAGAACGGATATCTATGCCACTGGATACAGAACATAATCAAAGAGCCAATGTCACAGAAGTAAGTGGCAGGGTTTAGAGACCAGCCATACCCTAGCAACTTGTGACCTTTGTATCTTTGGATTTATAGAATTGAATGGAGGACCTTCAGTCAATAATTGTGTTCGTTATTGATTACATCACCTGGTATTAACAACCAGCTTGCTTTTTTGCCTAGAGCTCCATATCTAGCAGATATACACATTAGAATATATATTTTTTTTGCATAGCTGCAGTATTGTCTTGCTCTTTAAGACTAGATACTTTGTTAAAAACAAAATAAAAAATTGGCATGCCCGAAACAAATTATTTAGAAAAAGCAGTTACATTATACAGTCCAGTATACATGTTATCCTCTTAAAAAAAACAGAAAAACATTTGGTTAGCACAATTGTCAATCTGAATGATTTTGGACATTTTAACTTATTATTTTCATCATATGTTACCAGAGAGATTTCTGAATCAATGCAGCCCTTCTTCCAACTAATATTACCTTCATTTTTGCTCTACAGGCTCTCATGCTGATTTGGTGATATCTGGACCAGAGCTGGTACTACAGAAGCCTTCATGGGGGACAAGTAGTGTAGCTACTACCACAAACTCCATATTGTGGACAAGTGATCCACCTTCGCTCGTTAGGGAACGTAACAATGTGCCCCCTCAGAGCAGGGAGAACTTGCAGCTAAGACATTTCCTTTCTACAGACCTACAGAAACCTGAAGTGAGGCAAGGACCCAAGGAGATAAATATCAGGTAATTACTAGGAGGTATATGTGACAGGGACTCTAGAAGGGAACAGAAAATGACACAACACTGTTGCCATTTCAGGGTAGCTATAGTTCTAGGCTATCACCAGAAAATTCCTATCGGCAATCTTCCAATCACACAAAAAATTAAAAAGATGAAGGTAACCTATCAAAAGTTTAAATAGTTTTTAGTTTACATGGGAACTGTTAGTAGTCTTCCTTTTTTAATCAAAAACTAGTGCTGTGTGTACAGCCAGCAAGTCTTAAAAATACATATTGTTTATGGTGGGCTATACCTCTGTTGACACTAGGGACAAATCCTTGGTATCTTTTTGGTAACCATGTAATAGATGACAGTAGGTAGTCAGCAGTCTATCATGCAGGGCAAATTAACCAGTTCACCTAATTGCTGCTGCTTATACGCCTGGCAGCACTAGCGTTGTTGGTTCGAATCCCAACACATGGCACCACCTGCTTGGAGTTTGCATGTTCTCCCTGTGCCTGCGTGGGTTTCCTCCGGGTAATCTGGTTTCTTCCCACACTCCAAAAACATGCTGCTAGGTTAACTGGCTCCTGTCTAAATTGGCCCTAGTATGTGAATGTTGGGGACCTTAGATTGTATGCTACTTGAGGATTAGGGATTGACGTGAATGCGCAAAATATATATATAATTCTAAATAAAGCGCTGCGTAAATTGACGGTGCTATAGAAGTACATACAACAGCTAGAACAAATATACAACAGCTCTTAGGACTCTCCCTTTCCCAGGGTTCTAGTACTGGGAATTTGCAGTTGAGGCCACTTGGCGCTATATCTTGTAATGAAAGGAAGCAAGTTACTCCTTACCCCGAAGTACTAGGTTTTGCACCTTGATGCAGGCATGCATGTGAATCAGTTCTTTGCCCTGCACGGGCAAACACAGGTTTACTTTCAGCCCATCCAAATTCATTCCTCATGATTAATGGGCAAAAAGATTTACTTTTTATTAGGAATCAAAGGACACAGCCTCTGATTAAGCACGCTAAATTTGTATGACTGCCTACAGGAGAAATGGGCACTAGGCAATAAAAGAAGAAAAGAACACCTAGGCGCTAAAAACTCTCTCATACGACTTCTGCTCAATCTTGCTTAGCAAGTTGTTTTTTTACACCAGGTTTTCTATCTTTTATGCATAAAGGTAAAAATCATTCTGTGTGCATTTCCTCCCTCAGTCCCCCTAATACTTATCTGAGCCCCCTCTCAATCCAATGATGTGCACGAGAGCCTCAGCTCTCCCGGAACTATTCCTCCTCATTGGCTGAAACAGTAGTGGGAGCCATTGGCCTAAATTTATGAAGATTATATGCAAAATTTTTATAACAAAGAAAAATGCTTTTTAAAACTTTTTTTGTTTTTAGTGTTGATTAATCACCAAAAGAAAGCTCTATTTGTGTGAAAAAGATTATAAAAATTTAATATGGGTACAGTGTTGCATGACTGTGCAATTTTCATTGAAAGCTGGCCTGGGTAGGAAGGGGGTGAAAGTGCCTGGCAATTAAAGAGTGTATCGTTCAGAGAGAACCTCTTTAACCACTTCAAGTCTGGACACTTTCACCCCCTTCCTGCCCAGGCCAATTTTCAGCTTTCAGTGCTATCACACTTTGAATGACAATTGCGCAGTTATGCAACACTGTACCCATATGAATGTTTTAGCATTTTTTTGAGGCCGATAAGACTTTATCTTGGTGGTATTTATTCACCACAGGGATTTTTATTTTTTTGCTATATAAATTACATTTTTATTTTTTTTTTAACATACTGTCACCCTAGCAGTACAGTGTCACCATACTACTTGTGGGGGGTGATGAAGAATTTTTTGTTTTTACACACTGATTGCTTTTACAGTCTTTATGAGTGTAAAAGCAATCATTTCTCCTTTCTGGCTTTATTCTTGCAGCCATTGAGAAATACTGTGAGAGCTGTGATTGGTCAGAGCTTGTCACATGGTAGAAGGCTGTTGTGAATACTTGTGATCATTCACAGATTTCACAAGTAGTAAGCAATGATGTCAGGAAGTGACAAACGATCGGGCCCTCACACAGCAGGCAATGGATCGGTGGAGTGCGCTCCCAGGCAGGGAATGCGGGATGACATTTATAAACAGCCACCCACGCCTACCTGGCTGTTTTTTATTTACATGGGCCAGATGGGAAGTGGTTAAATAGTGTATAGTGCAGAGAGCAACGCTGACCTCATCTTTTCTGCATCAGAAAAGGCCCACCCTAGGCCTGAGAAGAGGTGAAGAGGAAGACCCAGGTTTGTATAAAATAAATCAAATCATAGCATGTGAGGTGGTCAATACAATGACTGAATACACAGGTTTTGTGCTGTAGTCCAAGTCTGACTGGTTCTCTTTCCTGAAAGCAGCTAATTGCACTGTCCTCTGGCTGAAACCTTTGTTAATTCTATGGAATATGTAGAAGCCATGGTTTAACATTGTTCCCATTTAAATAAGCACCATGAAAACTAAGACTACTTGATAAATGTCTCAGCTTACAGCAAAACGTATGCTCTGTATTTATACTTTTTCATCAGACTGATATTTGAGCACCATGGGCAGCAATACCCCGAATGTTTGCCTCAGGCAGACTTCTATAATAAAGTGAAACTGGACAAAATCCAATTATAGATGGGTGTGGGAAAATGGAGAGCCTCCAATGACTTTACTATGTTTTCTTCCAGCAGTGAGACAGCAGCACCACTGGCCAAAAACATCCTGGATGACATCAGTACAATGTTTGATGACCTTGCTGAGCAGCTGGAAGCCATGTTGGACTGAAAAGTCTTGTTCCCTTTTTATTTTTGGCACTTTAGCTGGGACTGAATGATAGCACAGCTTCACTTGAATTAAAGCGGACAATATCCTCAAACTGTTGCTTCAGCCATTGTTCAAGAAACACTGCTGAATTTTGTTAAGGATATTTTAAAATCTTAGCAGCAGCACTTGGGATAAGGCATTGACCTGGACCGACATTCAGTTCTGAATAGCATATATTCTGCTGTTTCTTATTGCCAGGCTTCTGCATATACTGCCATACCCTGTCTTGTGTACAATCCTTGTTCCTGCAATGAAACTGTAAATGTTTGATTTTCTTTTTTTAAGAAATGTTTATTTTAAAGTAATTTTATATATATGTATACATCTATAAATATATATATATTTACTAACCAGAATATATCTGAAGTATTTTTTTTTCTTTTATTTCAAGAGGTTGGTGAGTTTCTTCTTGCGAGGACTTGGGTAAGGATTTGGGGGGTTATAATATATAGGTGGAGGCATTATGGCGATCAGCTTTTCTGGACAGGAGAGGGAACAGGTTAAAAAAAATCTCTCCTGCAACCACTAATCTGGAACTAATGAATGAGTCATTCATTCCTTTCTATATTGAAAGAAGAAGTGGAGAGCTCACAGATCTGTACGCACTATTTACATTGTGTGACTGGTCTCTCTATGACCAATCACAATCTTAGGATGCAGTGCAACTCAGATGGGCTCTTGTCTGTGAACATAGCCGTCCCAGGATGATTTGGTTCCAAGATGTTATTCTGCACATATGTCAGCCAAGGGCTATTTCTGGAGTGACATTTATTAATGGAGCACCTGAAATAGATGTCCACCACTCCACTGTTTTTTTTTTTTTTCCACTGTTTTTTTTTTTTAATATCACAATATGGTAATGTGGGTAAAGATGGTCTAGCTGTGCCCTTGTTTGTTTACACATTCTGAGGACTTTGTCACACATGAAAATTTTGTTTGATGAGAATGAAATGAAGGAGGAAATGTAAATGGTTGTAAAGTGATTGCTTTGATACACACCCACTGCTAAACTTGCAACCTGCATAAACCCATGTATGGTTTGTGAGCCAATTTATCCTTGCACCCACAATGCCACAGGGGCAAGTGAGTAAATATTTCCAGGCAGGTTATCCTCTGACCTTTTTTTTTTATTTAAATTTTTTTCAATTTAGTTCAGGTACACTGTAAGGACCTCAAATACTATTGCAGCTTACCAGTCATTAGATGAAATGCCTGTATTTTTTTTTTTTCTTTACCTGGTAACTTTAAAAATAACACTTTCCATCCTTCATGACTACATTCATTTCTCCAGTGTCCATGAAAGGAGCCATGCTTGTCACACAGTTTGAACTTAAAAAATGAGCACTTGACACTTCAGCCCTCAGAAACAATAGATGCACCCATTGCGTAAACAAATTCGAATAATCCTGTAGCAACCTGAACTGGAAAGAGATGGCGGTGCAGCCCTCCTCCAGAGCAGGGAAATCCAAACACTGCACAAAACACAAAGAGGGTGCAAATGCCTAGAGCATTATCATTAGCACTTAATTAAAAGGATATAAGAAAACTAAATAAATATACTCAAAAGCCAAGTGAGCTAAAAGGTAAGAGTATGAAGCATACAATCCAAAAAATCAGCTCTTCGGCAGGAGATGGAATAACCAGCTAACGTGTTTTTGGAGAATGACCGACCAATTCCTTCCCCCCCCCCCTCTTTATTTTATTTTTTTTTTTTAGAGCTATGGCTACTGTCTCTTTAACCTCTAAACCCTTTTATATATAATGAAATTACATAGCAGTAAAAGCCCCACCCACCACAATCAAAGGGAGTACTGTAAACCGGGGCTTAAAAGTTCGAGTCTAGACTTACTAGCCAGGCATAAACCTTACTCTCCACCAGTTGCCCCACCCAACCTTGCCCAGGTCCGCCTCCAACCCCACCCCTGTCCCATCCCCCAACCACACCCTCTTAACCACTTCCAGTCCAGACACTTTTACCCCCTTCCTGTCCAGGCCAGCTTTCAGCGCTATAACACTTTGAATGACAATTGTGCGGTCATGCAACACTGTACCCATATGAATTTTTTTGAGACAGATAAAGCTTTATTTTGGTAGTATTTATTCACCACTGGGATTTTTATTTTTTTTGCTATGTAAATGACAAAGTCCAAAAGTTTGCAAAATTTTATAAAGAAAAACACTTTTTTTCAAATAAATAATAATATTTCATCATAAATCTTGGCCAAAATTTATTCCGTTATCTTTTTAGTAAAAAAAAAAAAAAAAACCCAAATTAGTTTATAACCAAAAATCATAATTTTTAAGCACATGCCGCCCAGCCACTGTAGAAATACGTTGCCAGGGCAGCACGGCTGGGCAAAACTACGTTTTAAAACGTGTGTTTTCAAAAACCGGTAGGGGGAGTGCGCGAGGCGCACCACCGCCCTACCTGTCCCGCCGATCACGGCCTCGGATGTCAGTTGCCAGGTCACGGCCGGTCGTTACTGGCTGTGTCCCGGCGATTAGCGGCAATCACTGAGAGAGCAGGGCTGCAGTAGCTGTGCTTTCTGTCAATTCCCTGACAGCTCCTGACATGCTGAGCCGGAGAGAAGAGTTTCTCTCTCCTGATCAGCTTGTCCCCAGTGCAGTACACACCCCGACCCTAGTAGAACACTCCCCTCACACAGTTAACCCTTTCACTGAATAATAAAGTTAACCCCTTCCTCCCCATTCCTCTGCCATTAGTACGTCAGTGTTTTTTTTTTTTTTTTGCACTGATTACTGTATTGGTTTCACTCGGGATGTCAGTGACCCCAAGTCAGTTCCCCCCCCAGTGTCAGAATGTTCGCCGCGGTCCCGCCATAAGTCGCTGATCGCCGCCATTATTAGTATAAAAAAAAATTACAAATGGCGGGAAAGATACTGTGATTTTTAAACCCTATAACTTTCACGTAAACCAATGTACACATATTGGGTTTTTTTGCTGGACATGTTTTATAGCAAAAAGTCCAAAATATTGTTTTTTTTTTTTTTCTCAAAATTGTCAAGACTTTTTTTTTATAGCGCAAAAAAATAAAAACCCACAGGCGATCAAATACCACCGAAAGAAAGCTCAATTTGTGGGAAAAAAAAGGACGTAAATTTCATTTATGTACCAATACGGTACCGTGCAATTTTCCGTTAAACTAGCGCAGCGCTGTATAGCAAAAAAATGGCGTAAATTGCAGTATCTATACCATAGTTTGTAGACGTTATAACTTTCACACAAAACAATCAATATACACTTATTGGGATTTTTTTTTTACCAAAAACATGTAGCAGAATACATTTTGGCCTAAATTTATAACTAACTTTGAGTTTACTATATATTTTTTATAGCTGAAAGTAAAAAATAGTTTTTCTTTTTGTTGGTCTTTTTTTTTGTTTATAGTGTGAAAAATAAAAAGCGCACAGGTGATCAAATACCACGAAAAGAAAGCTCTATTTGTGTGAAAAAAATTTTGTTTGGGTGCAGCATTGCATGACTGCGCAATTATCAGTTGAATTAGTGCAGCGCCGAGTAGCAAAAAGAGGCCTGGTCATTAAGGGGGTAAATCCTCAGGAGGGCAAGTGGTTAAACTTTTTTTTTTTTTTTTACATTTTTATTTTTTTGTTTATATTTATGATTTTTTTTTTTACATACTGCCACCCTAGCAGTACAGTACATGGTGACACTGTACTAATTGTGGGGGGTGATGAAATTTTTTTTTTTTTTTTTACACTGATAGCTTTTACACCCATAAAGGCTGGAAAAGCAATCATTTCTCCTTCTCTCTAGCTACATTCTTGCAGCCATTGAGAACTACTGTGTGAGTTGTGATTGGTCACAGCTTGTCACATGGTACAAGGCTGTTGTGAATAGCCTTGTACCATGTGACTTCTGTGATCATTCACAGATTTCACACGTATTAAGCTATGATGTCAGAAGTGACATCTTTATTACTACTCTTCATGTGATCACTGATTGCGAGGTCCCGATCATGTGATCACTGATTGGCCAATCAGTGATCACATGATCGGGACCTCGCAGAGAGGTCCCGTACGACGATCGGTGTTCCAGAGGACACCGGATCGCAGTGCTGCCAGGGAGCGCGCACAAGCAAGGGGCGGGGAGGCCGTTTATAAACGGCCACCCGACCCTGCACTGCTACCGCCCAGCTGTTTACATACAACGGCCGGACGGGAAGTGGTTAAAGCTTATGAAATTACATTTTTCTTTAGAATAAAGAGTCCAGAATATAAAAAACTGCAATTATAACAACTTTATTATGTCAATTTAAACATAACAGCAATAGCTTAATAGCAATAGGGTGCAATCAAAATATCAAGTTTTACAGCTTTAAACCTGTAGTAAACATTTTGTATTTTTTTTATCTCCTGCATCTTTAAAAAGAGACTTTAGTAACTAAAGTCTTTTAAAAGATGTAAGTTTAGTTTACAGAAGTATAGCATACGAAAAAGTGCTTATTTTGATGCCAAAAAACATGGAATAGTTACTGTAAACATGTTGTATTTTTAATCTCCAGCAGAGACCTTAGAGAAGTGTGGCATGAAGAAAAAAGTGCCTCTTTTGATGGCCAAAAAACTTTAACCTATTTGTAATACTGACTTATTTTATATTAGTTTGTTTACTAAGGGCAAGTCTCTAGGCCAATCACTGGAGCAACACTGTACTATATTAAATAGCTCTTCAATGAGGTTTGTGCATATACATTTATATTCCACATCCCTGAAATACAGAATACATCTACTTTGACAGATCTCTTTGCAAAATATACAGATGCTAATATAAATGGACCTGTTTGCTGTAAAATATTGACCTTTTTGGTGTCTCCATCATTATCTTTGTCTCTCCAATACTCTCACACAAGCACGCTCTCATAAACATCTGTTTCTCACCGAGTAGTAATAGTTTCACTGTCTTGGCATCATCTTCCTGCAAA